ATGGAAGGAGTCCCTGCTCTTGGGCCTCAGATAGACAAAGCAAGCGAATCCATAGTGTATACACACCACAGTGAGGTGGGAGGAGCAGGTGGAGAAGGCCTTATACCTCCCCTTTGCAGAAGGCATCTTCACAACTATGGACACAATGAAGACATAGGAAATCATAATTAAAATAAAGCTGCCCACCAGCACAAAGGCAGAGAGCACAGAAATAACCATTTCATGATAAGAAGTGTAGTCACATGCAAGGTGAACCACAGGTGAAATGTCACAAAAGAAATGCTGTATGTTGTTGGAGTCACAAAAAGACAAGTTGAATATCATTATGGTGATGCACAAAGAAATCAGGAACCCCAACACTGAGGAGGCCATCACTAGCTGAAAGCAGATCGTTCCTGTTATAAGGGTCTGATAATGCAGTGGATTGTGGATGGCAGTGTAACGGTCATACGACATGGCAGCCATGATGAAACAGTTGTTGGATGCCAGGCCAAAGAAGAAGAACATCTGTGTGGCACACTCAGGAAGAGAAATGGTCTTCCTCTCTGATAGCAAGTCCACTAACATGCGGGGAATGATAACCATAGTGGTACAGGTTTCAGAACAGGACAGGCTGAATAGGAGAAAGTACATGGGGGTGTGAAGGTTTTGACTGAGCTTGATGGCCAACATTATGGACAGATTTGCTAATAGAATGGTCACATAGGAGAATAAAATCATCACAAAGAGTAGATTCTGTAGTTCTGGGAAACTGGAAAACCCCCACAGAAAGAATGTGCTCACTGTGGTGTGGTTGTTCATCTTTCTGGTGGACACACTCACCTTCTACCAATGACACAGAGATGCTTTTGTCAATACTCTGAGATAATTTTTAAAAGTAGCTTTGTACGGATATGCCCTGAACTTTGATTCTGAATCTCTGAAAAAATGTAAGACAATTCCTAGAGAACTTCAGAAAGAGAGTTAAATGCAACAGACACAAGGAGGAATGATTCTAGTATGAGAATGTGCATAAACACAATATGGCCCTAATATCATTTTGGATTCTACTCACAAATGCACTCTTTACCTCTTTTTGTTCCATTCTGTATCTGCAAGGAAGAGACAAAATAAGAGTAAAAACTCTCACCTGCTGGATTTTGATATGCCACATTTTTCAATTTTTTTTAATCTAATTGTATCTTGGCCCAAAGGAGTGCTTAGTAAACTTTTGATGAAATGAGGAAGATAATTCAATCACTTACATCATTTCAAATTAATATAGCATTTAAAAATTCTGGAGAAATCTGAAAATTTCCAAAAGAAATTTCACATTTCTTCCAATGCAACACTGTCTTTATCTGTACTTCCCACAATTCAGTAGCTCCAAGAATGATATTAGACCAGATAAATTAATCTAGCAAGTTGTAACTCAGATTCCTATCTTTGGTAATAACTGAAGCTTGAAATATACAAAATCAATTGTTCTTAAATTCTAAAAAAATTCCCATTGAAGTTCTTTTCCAAGTACATAAGATGATATAATGAATTAACCTGGAATTATTACGATCTCAAAGATATTGTGTCCTTCCAGAAGGGCAAATTTTAGTCATGATTTTCTGATCAACTTTTAAGGTTTTAATAGAACCTCTAAGAACATTTTCTAGCTGGTATATCTAAGTAGTTTGCTTTGCAGTACAGGCCTGAAAAGAATAAATTTAAGACCTTGAAATGAATTTTGCAAGTCATGTTTCTATTTTGATCTTGAATTAAATATACAACTTATGAAGGAGGTGAAAGCAGAAAACTGATTTGTAGAATCAAATCCATAGAATTTTTATTTAAACTTTGGCCACTGTTAAGTATGAAAGAAAAAAATATGAAGAAGCAAGTGCGGAAAATGAAAGGTTAGAAAAGAAAATCCCTGACTGGTAATCATTTTAAAGAACTTATGCAGATGAAAGTCCAAACAATTACAGTGTTAATTGAAGCATTGCTGTCTTCTATTTGTAGGGCAATTGTGGGTAAAAGAATACAAGTGGAGTCTGGCAAGGTAACCCACACCTACTCAATACTTTTAATGTGCTGGTCAATTTGGAAAATGTGCTACAGTTAGCCACAGCTGCCTCACACATAGCTTATTAGTCTATGTGAAGATTTTGCATTCTGACTTTACAAAGCATGAAACACTACATACAGTGGTTATGTCACTACTGGAGGTCAAACATTCAACATATATTGACTAAAGCCTAATTATTTTCCAGGCAAATTTAGGCATGGGAAACACAGTATAGAACCATATATGTAGGATCCCTGGGATGTGGGAGTGCATAACTACTGTTGTTAGTGAAGTCAGAGAAGCCCTCTCTGAGAAGGTGAAATAAAGTGGAGAGTAGAATGACAAAGTGCAAACAGCACATAATGATAAGGAGAACATCATAGGCACAAGGCATAGGTAACACAAAGCTTCTAAGGTGGACAACAAATATACCCAAGCAAACTTCACCCAAGACACAAATGGCTTATTTTTTCAACCACACTTCAATGACTCTTTACCACAAATGTTTCCCTGGCTATTTACCACTAAGAAAAACATTTTCATTCTTATTGCTTCAGCTACCACTTTTTATGACTCCCCAGTTCTAGTCTTTATTTAAAAAATACTCAAACTTTCTCTGCCACACCTCCAATGCCAGAATACCCCCCAAGTATTCAATGGAAGATTTCTGGAGCAGAACCAACCATCTACCTCCACATAACAGAATTTATTCCTGTGTTTTGTGCTTCCTCATCTAAGTCCTATTCTTCACTTACTACCAAGTTTTTGTGCTGCATCTATAATGATGTTGTCTCTTTTTTTTGGTATCGGAGATTGAACTCGGGTCCTTGTGCTTGTGCAGCAGGCGGCGAAACCACTGAGCTAAATCCCCAGCCCATGTTGTCTCTTGATTGTAGACATCTTTTGTGTCCTCTTTGCTTACAAGCTAGACAACACTAATAATTTCTAATCTTTATGGCATGTTTCAGCTATAGAGGCTCACATATCCTCATAGCAACCCATCATTTTGTTTTTTAATGAGGAAACTATGGCTCAGAGAGGTACTTGGTTGGCAAAGGTGATACTAGTAGTAAGTGTCCATACACAGCGTATTTACAACAAAGTGTTGACAGTTTACTTGGCTAGGTGACGGACTAGAAGGTCTTCCCAAGAGCAAGGGCCCTAGATTGGGTTCAAAGTCTTGTTTTCCCATCCCCATTTCTTGTTGGTTGCCAACTATTTTTATGTGAGAACCATCCTACTATTTCCCAAATATAAGCATGTCCTCTTTTGGTTTTTTTATTTTGCATGTGGTACTTTTTTCAAACTTGAGATATCTTTTCTTCCTTCTCTTCCTAATAATAACATAGCTTTCTCTAAAAGACAATTAAAACACCACTTCTCCTTGGAAGCCTCCCTAACTTCCCTGGCTGTGTTAGTCATTTCATCTAGATTCACATACCATTTTATTGTGGTGAGTTTTTTTTTTTTTTTTAAACTTGACTTCAACAATAGACATGGAAAAGACTTGTGTAAACTTTTGTATTCCTCAGCATTTAGCCTAAGCTGAATGAAAGAGGTTGTTTTATGTTTTTTGTTTTCTTCCGGGGATCTAACTCAGAACTTTGTGCTTGCGAGGCAGGTGGTGGTACCACTGAGCTAAATCCCCAGCCACGAAGGAGGTTTTTGACTAAAGTTAGTTCGATGGGTGCAGAAATATTTGAAATCCCATATTCTCCAGAAAGTGTTCTGTGGTTAATGCTTCAGTCCAATTACTAACTCCTCTCCAATACATTGTTTACTTTTCTGCCCTTATTTTACTTGGCTATATACTGAAGGTGATTGGTTGCTCTCTAAACACTTTTTCAGAATCAGGTCACCCAAAAAACGGTGAAGGCAAGAATAAGTGCTTTCTAATTGTTTACTTAATTGAATTTAAGAATTTTTATACAAAAGCCAAAATTTCTCAAAACTCAGTGACTATATAGTCAAAAAAGAAACTATCATTTTTATGTCTACTTTCACTGTGATATACAAATTCACACTCAATGTATAAATGGTCTTCTACCCAGAACATATCAGAATTCTAGGAGAGATTTGTTAAATTAATACATCTCCGTACCCCCATACATAAGCTTCTGGGCTTGACTCTGCTCTCTTTGATATCCCAGTATGAGTGACTTGATCGTTTCCAGTGATTTTGGTTGAAAACTTTTGGGTTTTCTTGTTTTCAGATATGTTGAGGTAAATTCTGCTTCCTTTATCTATTCAAGGACAGCTGTGATAGAAGATATGTCAGTGTGACATTGCTTTCACTGTCCCAGTGACACTGGCAGCCACAGGAGAGAAAGATACCTGGAACATGATGTTAGCTCCTGTTTTCTCCAAGCCTTACCCTCTTTCAACCATTGGTTTTTACCTTGAGATTTGTATTCTGTTCTCTATTTTTAGATCTTTAAATCCTTCCCATTTCAGTTTTCTGGGGTATCTCTCTACCAAGAATAAGACATTCTTAATTTTCAGCTTAGCTGTACCTGTGGTTTCTTCAATACCTTCTAACAGAATCTAAACACCCATGTGTCCTTGATAATTATAAATTATAGTATGATGTTCATTGTAAAGAAAAGAAAGACTCTAAATTCCTACCTTCTAAAGAAGGAGAATCACCTTCCAGTTTCTTAAAAATCATGAGGAAATTAAGCTGTAAGAAGACTTTAGTCTCAAAATTCAGGTGTGGCTTTCTATAGTTCTTCCTGTGATTTTACAAGTCTCTCAATGCAGGGGTAAATTTGAAGGCAATTTTTTCTCTGGGAATGAATGTAATATGTCTCTTACAAATTTAGTCTCCTGTAACATGAGAGGTAGTGTCATCTTCATTTCTTGCGGATGACTCTCAAGATTTTAAAAATTTTAACGTGAGTCCTGGGACCACTGAAGTCTATTATCTTGAGACCTCTGCTTTAGGTGCAAGGAGTCATGCTTTCCATCACTCATTATGATGTTCATAAAATTTTTTTTAAAATCCTCACCCACCATAGGGACTTTTCATTGATGTTTGTTCTTTTTCTTTTAAATACCAGTAGAAATTATTGACATTCAACATGTTAAAAATCTGGGAAGATAGTGGTTCCTACAGGCATATTTACTTCCAGCATAATACCATTCATTTTATAATACTGAAAATCTGCCAAGTCTGTCAGGTCTCCTACCTATTCACAGGATAAGGAATGGGATATCATGAGAAAATACTACCTGAGGAAACAAGAGGACAATAGGAAGAAAATTGTTTTCTCATGGGAATTGCCTTTCAGGAGAAGAGCATGTTAATAAGGAAAGTCACTTTCTAGTTATTGCATTGCCAACCTTTATGACCACAAGTGGCTACTAATTGGCTCTCTCATCACCTTGCCCCTCAAATTCTTCATCACTTGTACTACCTTCTACCTACCGTTCTTCTCTCCATTAAATTCTGCATTTTAAAAATTCTGTTCTCTGTTCCTTCTGTCTGAAAAATCTTATATATTCTTCAAGCTTCAGAACAACTGACACCTCATCCAGAAAGCCCCCTTTTTGGAATAATGTATAAAATAGAAAGAGAAAGCAAAGGCATTAAGAAGTAGGAAGTTCACTAGGAAGGATGCTTTGGTCTGCCTCCACTGGGTACAACATGCTAAGTATAGCAAATTAGATAGCCATATATGATAATGAA